AGGGGATAGAGGGGGACAATGAGAGGGAGTGGAAATAACTGTAGTACTTCCAACAATAAAATTATTTTTTTAAAAAGAAGAAATTTCTTTAGACTGAAAAAGAATGAAATCAAATGGCAATCCAAGTCTACCAGAAGGAATTAAAGAGAACTAAAAATGGTAAGATGGGGGTAAACATTTTTAAAAAATATCATTTTTTTCTTCTCCTAATTACTTTAAAAGACAACTGCTATTTAAATACACACAACATACACTGCCTAGCAGATTATAACATTTGTAGTTGTACAACTTTTAAAAATAATAGTACAAAGAAGAGAGTATATAAATGGAATGATACCATTATAAAATTATTATATTTTACATGAAGTATAACAATATTATACTTAGTTAATAGTGCATATTATGATCTGAAGAACCCAAAATTTTCATGATAAACCTCCTAGCAAGTGTCATTCACATATTTATTCTTATACTAGAGGCCTAGTGCATGGGGTGGGAAGGGGGCAGTGTCCCTCAGCCCAACCTGCCTCATGTCCAATCTGAGACCACTCGAGGGATGTCTGACTGCCCATTTAGGCCCAGACAGTCAGACATCTCTCTCACAATCCAGGACTGCTGGCTCACAACCGCTCGCCTGCCTGCCTGATTGCTACTACACTAACCACTTCGGCCTACCAGCCTAATCACCCCCTAACCACTATCCTGCCAGCCTGATAGATGCTTAACTGCGCCCCTGCCGGCCTGATTGCCCCTAACTGCCCTCCCCTATTGGCCTGGTCACCCCTGCACAAACCTCCCCTGCAGGCCTGGTTTCACCCAATTGTTTTCCCCTGAAGGCCTGGTTGCCCCCAACTGCCATCCCCTGCTGGCCATTTTGTTTCTACCTGGGGGCAGCCATCTTTGACCACGTGGAGACAGCCATCTTGTGTGTTGAAGTGATGATCAATTTGCATATTACCTCTTTATTAGATAGGATCTTTATTCAATGCCAACCAAGGTCTCTCAGTAAAAGCAGCTTTATACAGTATAAAAATAATTTGAGCCGAGACCGGTTTGGCTCAATGGATAGAGCATCGGCTTGGGGACTGAAGGGTCCCGGGTTCAATTCCGGTCAAAGGCATGTACCTTGGTTGCGGGCATATCCCCAGTAGGGGGTGTGCAAGAGGCAGCTGATCGATAACTCTCTCATCGATGTTTCTAACTCTCTATCTCTCTCCCTTCCTCTCTGTAAAAAATCAATAAAATATATTTAAAAAAAAATAATTTGAAGCTCTTTGTTAATGATCTGACATGAAACAAGTATAAAACTTAATTCATTTTATATCCCTGAGTATTATATTTTAAAGCTGAACATTTGATGATTTCTAGCATCTAATGAGTCCCATAATTTGTAGGTCTGTGGGGTTAGTTGTGACCTTCCCCTGGCAAAGCTTGTGTGATTTGTTGTATTTGCTTTGCCTCTGATATTTTGGGCCAATTGTTATTTATTCCATGCGTATTTTAGTATCAAGGCCACAAAATCCCCCAAAGAATATTCTAAATGCAAATAGTTAATGGCATATATTGATCATTAGTATAAGTAGCTATACTGATACAGAGATTCAGCTCTGTAGCAGTAAACAGACTTTGAAAGGAGTCTACCTTCCCACACCATGTCCTCTGACCCCCTCCACCAAGCCCTCTGACAACTCTACTCTACAAATTACAGTCCTCAAGTTGCTCCATCTAGTTGATGACTTCTCTACACATTGATTAATATTATATTGCTACATCATAATATAATTTCATTGTTTTATAATCAACAGCAAGTGACTGTGGTGATTTTGGAGGAAATAAAGACTAATGACAGCACATAATTATTTGTTTCTTAGAGAAGTCTCTAGCTTCAATCATTCCATTTTAGTTTAACAGAAAGATAAACTAGATGATGATCTTGCAGGTTTTTCTCTTGGCAAAGGTTGTCTTCCCCTGAAGCTTTTATCTCTTGATCAGATTTTGAGTAGGAACTAGATATATGGATGCATGAGCCAAAATAAAAAGCATAAAGTTCTAAAATAAGAAATATTCAAACTATTTTTATTTAGATAAGATAACAAAAACAGGGTTATCAAGAAACCTGAGCCTGGAGACTGCACTCCGGTCTGCATGATTTAGCCTGGGACCTCAGAGCTTCGTTTTGGACAATCTTTTATTTCTCAGTCTGCTCTGCCTGGTCTTGGTTTTTCCTTACTTCTTATCATCAACTGTGATTTAGCTCATTCATTCCAAGTGTACAGTCCAGACTCTATCATCCAGATGGAGAATTTTATGGTCCAAATACATCTCAAAGCAAATGAGTAATTGGCTTAAAGGCTGGCATTTGTATGGAATGCACTTAATGCGATGTCAATAAAGGCACCGGTGGCATATAGCTTATCTTGGAGTTTAGTCTTATCTTTATTGATGAAGTACATGAAAACATTGAATATAATGCTTAAATTTTCAGCTCTCATAAGGAAGGATTACAAAGACAGGAATAGAATTTAAAGTTAATTATCTAAATTAAAAAAAAGGTGCCCTTTAAAATGAAAGAAAATTCCATACAGAAATTTTAAGTAACGTCACACACTCTGATAAAAAAGGAAATAACAGGCCCAAAATGGAGGCACTTGTGCTAAGCTCACATTACTGAACCAAGACTTAAAATTGAGGCTAATTACAGTTTTACTTCCCCCCAGGAGGGAATTCAAACAGCTCACCTGGACGGAGGGACAGAGCCGTCCCCAATGGCGGCTCCTGGCCTGGAACCATTTCTCTGTGCCAGTCAGGCATGCCACCACTTTGGGAAAAGGAGGGCACCGGTGGTGTTCGATCTTCTGGTTTTGTTTATCCAGCCGTCATTAATCTTTATGTGGTCGTGCCACACCCTGAGCAAGAAGCCTGGAACGTGGGGGTAGGGCTGAGTCCTCAGGGGTAGAGTCTTGTCCTAGAGATGGGTGGGCTTACATAGAGCAAAGCGCAGAGGCTCAGGCCCGGAGTCCCATTGACACTAGAGAAGAACTGGATCTCGTCCGGATGAGAGAAGCCCGGAGGGCTTCCCACAGGGGCTGGAGGTGAGATTCTGAGGAAGCATCTCTGGGATGTTAATAACAGAAGCAGGCAAGTTCAGGGACTGGCAGCATTACAATGAGGTTGGAGAAAAAGAATAGGGACTTCGGAGGAAGCATTGCTTTTAGCCACATTTTGAAAATCTACACTAATAAAAGAGTAAGATGCAAATTGACCATACCTTTGTGACACCCACCAGCCAATCAGGAGTGAGTATTCAAATTAACCCAACAAATATGGTGGGTTAATTTGCGTACACAGGTGCCAAGCAGCGGGGGGGGGGGGAGGGTGGGATGCTTGCATAGTTGCCATGTTGACGATGCAGGCATTCTGCACTGACCCAGCCATTCCAGGCCTCTGGGTAGCATAAGAAGGCAGAGCAAAGGCGGAGTCAGCAGCCAGGGGAAGGAAGGCTCATGTTAGCATGAATCTTTGTTCATCTGGCCTCTAGTCATGTTATAAAATCTAACCCTTCAAGGTCTTCCTTAGCTGTCGAAGGAATCTGGAAGTTACCTTATTGATCATAGGATAAACTGAAAGTCATCTTACCATGGAAATTGGCTGACCAAGGTAGTTTTTAAAACAATGAAATGGAGCAAAGCACAAGAAATGAAGTTGGGAAACAAGGTGAAATGGGTGCCAGGTGATGAGGAAACAGACAGCTGCTGGGTGAACACTCTGGCAGGGAAACCACTGTGGGCCCCAACCAGGAATGCCACTCCTGGAGGGAAAGGGGATGCATGGTCCTCAGCACGGCGCCCCAGGCTGTGCTTCTGCGTCAACCTCTGTTGAAAACAGAGATAGCCTTGATTGAGCATCGAATGACCACACCTCTTTGAAATGTCATTTCACAGCCTTTTGGAACATCTGCAGACCCTCCAAAAACCCAATCTGTTTCTTGTTTCCTATTCGTTAGGAAAACTTGTTTTTCAGTTTTTCTGCTGCAGGAAGAACTTCTAAGGAATAAAGCTTTAGAGGTTTTACTCCCTTTTCCTCTAACCCAAGTCTTCTCTGTACACTCTTCCTGGCCCTCTGAGTGTGAGTGTGGCGTTTGCTGGAGGAAGGGGTGAAGCATGGCAGTTTGGGAATGCTCATTGTTCCCACACTGGCGGAGTCCTTGCAATCAGTGCTGGCCAGAGCGGCTCTCACTGTGAACCACAGGCTTTGCATGACCTTAAAAAAGCTCTCAGCCACAAGTTGGATGCTTTTGGCAGCGTTACAATCGTAGCACCACCGGCAGGGAGAGCTTTGCTTCCCTGCTCACTCTGGCTGGGAGAGGAATGCTGGGCTGCGGGAGGCACGGAGAAGGCTGCCCAGCGCCTCGCACCCTGCCTGGCCCCTGGGCCTCCCCCCGGATCCCAGGTAAGACCACAGGAGCCGGAGCAAGGTCAGCCAGTCCCTCCTAGAGAGGTCAGGAAGTGGGGTGCAGTGGGGTCCAGGGCAGATTGCCTCACCTTCCGGAGCCCCAGGCCTGTCTCAGCCCATAGGGCTCTCATTCAACCCAATAAATTGGTGAAAATGTGCTTTTATGTTTTATTATTATGCATATCTCTGTATATCACTTTGCAACATGCTCTTCTATAGATTATTAAAAACATGAAAACAGCAACAGAATGTTTGTTTTTTACAAATCTGCGGCTAGCCATTAATGTTATTCTTTCATATTCATAAATTATAAAATCTTATAGCACTCTATTGCTGAAAAATGAAATATCATACAAAGTTTAGTTTTCAATATTAATATTTTAAAATATTACAAATGGATAAAATGTAAGACAACATAAGGCAGTGAACTGAAAACTATAGGGAAAACACTTGCCTATAGAATGGCATTAGTCTCTAAATATAAAGCTCAATGTCACAAATTTGGGTTCTTAAAATTTTTTTATATCACAAATTGTGTTTCCACTTAGATGTCAGAAACTGAGCTGGAAAAGATAAAAGTAAGAGCAGCTGAGCATTTTGAAAATGATAAAAATAATATTTCTTGGTTGAAGGAAGGTAAGTCCTCTTGCTGTTGATTTTCTCGGAATGTGGAAGTTGTGATTTTGTTTATAAGAGATCGTGTGGGAGACGGAATGAATGCAGGGCGATTAAAATAATGTTTGTGCTTCCGCTTTTCTTAAGTTTTCTCCTCGGGCTGGGTGGCGTGTGAAGGTGGTTAGCACTGAGGAGCTTTTGTTTCCTCTGCGGCAGTAAACAGAGTGTTTTGCTGGGAGAGAATATGCATTTTCAGCTCAGATTATCTGTGAGGTTCTGGTTGTGCTGTAGGTTTTTCTCCTTTAGCCAAGGAGACTAAATCATTGAGGACAAGTATTTTCTAAGTAATAATCACAGCAAGGAGGGCTGCTGTAGGAAGCGATGTCTGCAAATAGCATCGCCATTCACTGCAATTAAAGGGCCACCTCCCCGGGGAGAGCGGCCGCGGGCACCGGGTGCGCGAGGCGCTGCTGGAAATACACACACAGATCGATGCATTCTCCTAGGACAGTGCGACTTCGTGCGCTTTTGAAAACACGTATAAGCTCGTGATTACTTACTAGAAGGTTTCATTTCGTCATTTTTTCATTTTAGGAACATCTTAACGTTTCTTAAAGTAAATTGACTTGATATTTTATTGAAATAGGTGTATCTTTTGCATTATTTCATAAATGTATTCAATTGTAAAGTAACAGCTCTTAAGTAGTTGCCATTCCTCAAAATTGTATTCTCAGATCATGGGAGACTTTAACATACATGTCAAGGAAGTTCTACAACATCAAAACAATAATAGTAATAGCATGGCCCTCGTTGCAAATGTATGCTGATAGTATGCTGAGTCATCACAACAGCCTGTACAATAGTAATTATTCCTAATTTTCAGAGGAGAAAACAATCACAAAGGGCTGAAGTAACTGGCTAAGATGACAAGATTGTAAGCGTGAAGAGCTGAATTCGATCCCAGAGAGTGTGACTCCACAGCATCTGAGTTTAACCACGACCTTACACAATGTTTCAAAGAAAAGATGTTAAATTACTTGCAGGGTGTGACCTGCCCCATGCCCCACTAATCTCAATTAGTAGATGGAGCTCCTCTCTGCTAGAGATTCTGTTTCAGGATAAAAGTTGATGCAGACATGAAGTATTCTCAGAATCATTTCCTTCAAAAAGCCACAAGCAATAAAATTCTCTGGCTTCTCTTTATTAAGATATTTTAAATAGAACATGTATAAAAACAGCGCTGTGAAAGTAAAAGTTGAACTTGGATCAAAGATTTCCTTTTGCATTTCCTGTCAACTCCAAATCCATAAAGACAAAGGTGTTGGGCACTACTATTGGTAATGATGTTTACATTATTTATTTTTGCTATGATTATTCCACTTTACAGTCTCATATAGAAACAGTGGTGGAATTGATAGACCAGTCAATTGATTACTGAAGTATTTTCTTTTTTTGTGTTCATTAAGTCAGTTTCAGCATTAAGTTTTTGTGATCTATAAAAGCTAATTTTCCCAGGTGACCTGCTTTATCCCTTTGGACACTTCCTTTAAGCTACGTTCAAATTATGTTTAACATATTTCATAAAAGGAAATTGAACCAGATTCTAGATGTTTCTTAAAGTAAATTGACTTGATATTTTATTGAAATAGGTGTATCTTTTACATTATTTCATGAATGTATTCAATCATAAAGAAACAGCTCCTAAGTAGTTGTCATTCCTCAAAATTGTATTATCAGGTCATGGGAGACTTTAACAAATATGTCAAGGAACTTCTACAACACCAAACAATAATAGTAATAACTCGCCCGCATTGCCAATGTGTGCTGATGTTATGCTGAGTCATGACAACAATCTGTGCAACAGTAGATCTTTATAGAGAATCATCTGGAGAATGAGCTAGTATTCAAACATAAATCTCTCTTTTTAATGTTAAGAAAAAAGTATACGTATTGTCTTATTTATTTTTAAAGGCAAACTGGCGCATTGGAAAGAGTAGAGCAGTAGAAGCTAGGCAGGTGTGGTTTTCAAATCTCAGCTCAACTGCTTGCTGTGACTGGCATTTTGCTGAGCTTCTGGCAGCTCAGAGTCCTCAGCGAGGCCTGGTGACACCTGTTTGTGTGATTGTGGAAATGAGATTTCATTATTTCTGTGTGTCTCCTCTTTAAAGCATGATTCAAAATAATATAGTTATATTTTTTGAGATCCTCATTCACATTTGAAGCAATTATTAATAGTAAGAGTCCGCTGTATTTTTATAGTATTTTATATAAATTTCATCATTTAGTCCCAACAACAGCTTGATATGCAGTAACATTGTTCCCATTTTATAGTTTCAGAAAGACTTTGGATGTTCCTCAATTTTGGCAAACTGAATCTGGAACCCAGGTCTTCAAGCTCTAAATTATATTCTTTTCCTTAAACTACTCTGTCACATTGATTTTTCCAATGGTTATTAATCAACTTCCCCACTCTCAAAAAAAAAAAAAAGTAAAATAGATGGCTTAACCTTGTTCCAATGTTTTTCACGAATTACGAAAGTAGTTGCTTCTCATATCACAATGTCTCTTTCCTCCCTCTGCAACTCCCTCTGCAACTCTAGCTCAACACTCCCATGGTTGAATGACGAGAGGTGAAGTAAAAACACCCACTGGAGGAACCCAGTGCGGACCTCAGGGTGTGCATCACCATCGTGGCCAACCTGGATGCTAATGTCCTTTATAATATTTCAGATATTCACCCCATTTGTCCAATGCGACTCAGCATTGTGAGCCACATGTTCCTGGAGCTGAGGCACGAGAGGGCAGGGAAAAAAGAGAAAGAACAGTTCTGCACTAGAGAAGTTTACTATCGTATTGGCTTGCTTTTGCCTGAAAGGCAAGGCGCTGACTGCCTTCCACTTGGCATCCACTGGGTCATGGGGGCGATGGCCTCAGCAAGGGCGCCAGAGAGCTGGTTACAGCACACCCAGAGCTATTATCCACAATCAGGGCAAATAGTGTTTGAGAAACACGCCGCAGATCCGAAATGCACTCACCTCCAGGTAATTGCATCCTGTTTCACAGTCTATCAAGGCATCAGGCGGTCCTCCATCGCTGTGAGTCATGCTGCCTTTAAACTCTCGATGATCAGGCTTTAGATCTATCACATTCCTACGTCCCAACCTAAGGAACTCAGGAGCCCAGGAATAAATGCTTAAGAAGCAAGACAGGTAACTCTGAAGTCAGATGTCCAAGGATCATGCACAAGAGAAAACCTGTTTTAAGACAACCAGAGAAACAAAATGTGGTTTTGAAAGATGGAGCAGGCAAGATGAGCTATCTTGTGCAATTTGGACCGAGGTGTCTAAAGGCCAATCTTGAAGGTGGTGCCCATCTATTTGCACAGGTGGCCGGAGGAGTGCTGGGAGCAGAGTCATCAGAGGCCATCTGCCTGCTTTATGCTCTGGTCAGGGCATCCTGGCCAGCTCTTCCTGTAGTTAGCACAGAATCAGAGGGACAACAGACTGGCACAGCAAGGGTGGGACCCAGGGCTGAAGCATGCTGAGGGCATATGAATCCCTAACTAGTCTGCAGAATGTCAGGGGCAGGCAGAGGCCAGGCTAGGCAGCAGGCATGGTGATGGCTATGACAGAAACCAATTCAGGAACCCCAAGTGAGGAAACATGTCCTGGATAAAAGTCATAACAAGGAGAGGAGAAAAATAGGCCCAAATGTGAAAAACTTTATGAAGGGAAAATTGATATAACAGAGAAATTGGGGGGAAATTACAGGTGGAATAAGATGGCATGTAATGCCCCATTAAACCAGGGAGCATTCTGGGTAAGCATTTCAGTGCCTACCGCTTCCTCCATTCGATACGGAAGAGAAGCATCAGGCAGGATGGAGCCTTGAAATTGTTGCTATTTGTAGTTTAAAATCTCAGCGTCGCCAGTGCTTGAACTGCACACAATTTCTTACAGTGTCTCCTGATTTTTTCAGGAGAAACTGGAAATCTGAAATTTCATGTAAAATCTCCTAACTTCTCAAGGTTAAGAAAATAATAACAACAATAAGAAAGCACCTTGCAGAACAAATTACTCCAAGTTCTGTGACTATTTCAGCCCATTGGCTACCAATTTGTAAGAATTTGTATCCCTAAACAAAACCTATTACAATTTTCCCCAAACCAGTTTTCCATAAAAATTGCTTCATATGTGCACACACACATATACATGCACACAAATACTCACATATTTATGTGTATGTGCAAAGTCAGTTCTTTAAAAAATATGACATTACGACTGCTGAAATGAAGCTGTTTTCCTGAAATTACCTGGTCTTGTTTCTTCCGGTTGTAATGAGCAGAAGAAGAACAAAAATAGCCCAGGTTAGAAGCGTGCCCTCCATGCTTTATCATCTTCTCATCAGGTGCTGACTTCCCAATAACTACCGAAGCAGGTGGGCCTTCGTGGGAAAATTCGTATTTCTGGAAGAGGTGTGATTTTAAAAAGAGGACGTGAGGGCAATGCACAAGTTTTTCTCTCATCTTCCAAGAAATGCCAGGAAGAAAGACACGTGGATGTTGAAAATTATGTTGTCATTTTGAACTAAGTACAGGTAGTCATATGGTGACTAGAGTCTTTGGTGATTTCAAGATCATTATTTAAATACACTTTTGAGGAAACTCGATACATTTATTTAGTATTAAAATAGAGAAGTTGGGTCACCAATGACTTGGCATCTTGAATATATTGGTTATCATTTAATCAGAGTTAACACATATTAGGAATTGATGTAACAAAATACTGGAAAACAGCATAGAGCTTCCAAAAGCCATGTCCTAAAAATTCTCTTCTTAATAAAATGCAAAACTTCAAATCATATTACAAGAATCTCATCTCATTTCTGACCATTGTTTGCCAATGAGATGGAGAAAGTGAGAATCCTACTTCTATTGATATTCATAAATTCACTGAAATTCCATAATTCTAAGTGAACAAAAGCCCCCTTCCTTTGTTCAAACATAATTTCAGATTATAAGC